CTAAATTGAACTGTTAACACCTGTATATAGGATTTATAGAATTGTAGGTTTTATTACACAAAATAAAGAGTTTTTCATGGAGTTTCTTTCTTTCTTTTTCTTGTAAAATTCAATGAAAAATAATGTTTGCAAGATCTTTTGTACCATGACATATACAAAGAGAAAATCTTTAATAGTTCGATTCGTAGACCTAAATATAACTGAAAAGCAAACTCAAATTGTCCATGACAAGGCATATGAAGTACTAATTTCTAACTGCTTCATAACAAGAGATTAAATAGAGCAATACCATAAATCTACCCGATTTAAGCTTATGTGAATGGTTAATTATTGATTCTATTGATTTTGTCTTTATTGAACTAGTAATTTAATGTAGTAAAACACTAGTAGAAAACCTATCTCATGCATAGTACTTTTCAAAAATATCAAAAACATACTTTTGGAGAATATAAATGAACAATCAATGCATTAAAATTATTCAATCTCAATTTAAAATATGAGATTCATAAACTTTTATATAAAGTGAACATTTTTATTATATAGACAATTATAAAATTATAATAAAAAAGAAAGTTGTTGTGAGCAAGGCTTCTATTAGAGTGCGGGCACATTAGATGAGTTGGATTAGACTACGGCTTGATTTTAAAAATATATACATTTTTGGTATGGATTACTAGCATTAATTTTTCTTTTCCACCTCCTTCAGGTGGCGGGCTAGCTTTGCTTAATTATGACTGGGGCAGGCACGAACTCCAAAAACTCACAGGAAACTCTAAACCTGAAAATAATTTGAGGTTGACTACTTAAAACTAAAAAATCTTGACCATTGAAAAATCTCTCAACAACCACATTTCCATAAAGTCCAGATGTAATGACCTTAGTTTGAACTTGCTTCCCTTGCTTCAACCTCCATAAATTCCCATAAGCTATCAACATTGTCCAAAACGTAAATCCATCCGAGCTCGACCTATGATTCCTTTGCATCAAATAAAAAAATCCCAATGTTTTATGATAGAGTTTGCAAGAAAAGAATAGAGAAGGAAGGGCACAAATGGCAAAGAAAAAAGAGCAGAAAAAAAAGTTGATCATAGAACTTTTTTTCTTATTTGTTTTCATTAAATAGATGTGCTAAATAGCATGTTGCCAGCTAGTACATGTGACGACTTTTTTGACAACCATTTGGCTATTGGTTTTTAATTATTTAAGGTCATTCTTATTTGTAACTTCTTAAGCATTTTGACTTTCATATCATTACAAATTTTTTTGATCCAAGCAAGGTTTTTCTGCTATGTTTGGAGCAGGGTTTTAAATAGCAAAGACAGAATGGTATAATGACCATTATTTTGTGGTTGCACCACTTACTGCTATCGATATTGAAGAAAAAATAGAGAAAATTTCAATCTCAACCATAACGCCCACGATCGATTGTTGCAAAATAGAATAACGGAGAATAGTGAAAATATCAACTTATTATTCCCGTTATTCTCACTGCTTTGCTTTTTGTAAAATAATGGTAGGAAACATTTTGATTTCGTTTGTTCAAAATTGAACTCAAAGAAACCCAAAAACAGAAAAAAATAACTTAGTTCACACAACCAAATTTAGAATTTTAGCCCCAATCATCAACATCAACTAGCATAACTCAATTTATTGATTTGAATTTTGAAAGTGCATAAAATTACCTTTTTTGTTGATTTTGTTTCTTTTAAACATTTCGTTTTTGAGTATTTGTTTGGCCATCCATATTCCATGGTTCTACTGCTAGGGGTAGGGGGTGGCGAGCTACTTAGCTTGCTGGTTGCTGATTCTTAAGCTTGGGGGTTAAACTAACGGTTAGGAAAGGATAAAATGAAAGGAAGATAAGAGCTTTTTGCTTGTGTTGGAGGTTTATGCATTTGAGTTTGAGACATGTTGAGAGAGCCATACAAAGAAAAGAGAAATAGAGAGTTGAGAAGAAAAAAGAGAGGAATAGTAGATTGAAGGGCTGATAGGCAAAGGGAAGATGGGAGAAAAGTAAAAGCGAAATGTCTATGGAGTGTGTGTGTGGATTATGGGTGACTAGGTGGGTTGGGAATTGGGTGAAGGTCTTGTTAGGCCTAGGGAAGGGGTTAAGATTTTATTGTTTTAGTGGAAAATTTTGATTTTGGAAAATGGATTGAAAATTTTTATTGTTTTTAGAGGTAATTAATCTAGGAGAAATTTATAAGGGGGAAACTTTGAATTGTGGTTGAACAAATATTATTATTTTTTATAATTTCATGTTAAATGTTCAAAATGTGTTAATGATCAAGGAAAATTTATTATTAACTTTATATTACTTTATTATAATCTTAAAAATATTGTAAATAATTTTTTTATCAAGTTAACAAAAGACATGAAATATTACAAATTATTTTAAAAATAATAAATAAGAGTTTTTATTATTATAATTATTATATTTTATAGTAAGTTGTATAAAATTTTAAAAAATTCATGACCGCAATAATTACAATAATTTTTGTTATATTTGTAATCGCAATAACGTAACACTATCGAAAATGCGACAATAACCACAGTTAAAATCTCTGCTTTGGAGCCTTGGCCTCTGGTAAGCCCTATATCCCTGATCTAGGTTCGTATAATTGTTTCCCTTTTCTGGTGCAACCTTGTCCTCAAGGTTCAAAATATGTATTCTCTAATTTCATGTGGTCTCGCAAACTACAATGCTCATTTCATGTGTCATGTGCTTTTTGTAGATGATCATAAACTCCATTTTCATTCCCACCATCCTCATGATGCATGTTAGAAGCTTTTTCATTACCATCATCCATCATCCCATTAAACTTAACGATAGCTTCTTGCCATTATTCAACTTGAGAAGCTATATAGTCAATTGGATTTCTCTCTAAATTTTTTATGACATTCATTAACCCATTGGTCTCTTTCATCATCTGTAGGGTTTATGTGAAACTTTGAAACTATTTATTGACACATAAGTTTATCCACTGAATCAAAAATAGTTTTCCAAGGTAATAGTATAGCATAAGTAAATGGACCACTAGGGCCAAGCATAAAGAACATTACTCAACTTCATACATATGGTTTGATACAAGTTTTCAAGATTTTGTCCCAATATCATTTGCCATGGATGCACCCAAACATGGATTGGAATAGCTTATTTACATGGGTTCCATGAGGTAACTATTCTTGATAAATTTGGCATTGTTACAATATCCAATATGGTGTGAAGAATAGAAGATGGCAACAACCTTTTCCATGATTCCAAAAATCCAAGCATTGGTTTGGGGTTCCTAGGCTCCCATATGTTTATACTTGATATTCTTACAATTTGTAAAAAAATTTCTAAAATCAACTGAGAATACAATGTTGTTACATCCTCTCAAATGTTGTAACTATCCTTTTTTTGCAATACATCCTTCCATGCTGTTATCATATTCATCTGTATAATGGATTTTCAAAAGTATCCCCACCGTGAAACTTTCTTATAAACATAGACAAAGTAAATGAACATGCAATGCAAGACAAGTTACATAGTTTGTATAATTTGTAATTATCAACATTTTTTCTTTGTAAATCCTTGAATTTCTTTGTAAGAGACTCCAACATTTGTGTTGCACTTACTGTAGGCTATCCTTATATATTGGCCTTACATAACATCAATTTTTGTGCCAAAATTATCTTTTCAATTGGGATTTTCATTCCCAAATTACCTCTTGCAACCATAAATGCATCTAGATTTGATAGAATTTCTTCAAATTTAGTAACCATTCCTTGATTTTCAACCTTTGATAGGAAAAGAATGTTGATTCCATGCTCTTCTAGTAGTCCTTGCGAATAAAAGACAAGGCAATCATATCTATCTTATATGGAACACCTATAGCATGTGAGCTCAATATGTCAACCATGGCTAAACAAATTGCATGACATTAATCAATTAAAATTCTAAGATGCCAATTTAAATCAATACATGGTTGCGTATAAGTTGTTGAACCACTCTGATCATCTTATAAAACTCTCAACTCACTTTCTTTAATATAGCCCTTGGGTTTTTGATAATCATCAAACTTCAAAACAAGAAAAATTCACCATTTTCTAAGGAAACCATGTTTTCTTCAAGTAAATGTGGATTGCAACAAACACAAAATATTCTAACAAAAAATAATTTTATCATATTTTTAACAAAAATTGCACTTTTAATCATATCTTTTTTTAAAGATTTCAATAGCCCTATGTCATTGTTTAAAATATAAAAACATTATTATTTTTTACATAAAAACATAGTGTTTGTTAACAATAACTAAGTTTTTTATTTAAAAACATAGTCTTGAAACTATGAAAATTTGAAAATAAAATTTTCGTAATATATCAAGCAAAATATAAAAAAATATATAATTTTTTTCATAATATATTTTTAATAAAAATCACATTTTTTATTTAAAAAATGTGATATATGTTTAAAACATATTAAGAAAAAATTATTTTTATAATATTTTATAAAAAATTATTATGTCTTTAGGATAAAAAGTTTTGTCTATATAATCTAAAATTATAATTAAATGATGGTAACTGAAAATCAATTTTTTTTAAAAATCTAAAATATCTAAAACAAACAAAAGAAGAAATTTTTATTTTTTTTTATTTTTTGACACGGTTAAAAATTTTAAAAACTTTTAAAATCACGTTCTCCAAACCAAATTAAAAAAATCAAATACTAAAAGTCTTTTTCTCGAGCCAACCCTTATAGCCTTCAACAATATTTATTGGCGCTCAAGTCTAGTTCGTGGTGGCTTGACTTGATTATGTGAATGTGTATGTGCATATATATATATATATATATATTTTTTTTATTTATTTAAATTAAAAAAAAAAAAGAAAAAAGCAATGCTTCACAGAATCCTCTTTCCCCTAAAAATAATAAATATAGAAATATAAAAATTCGCCCCACTATTTTCCTTTTTATTTTTTAAAGAAAACAATCCCCTTCATTTTCCTTTTATAATGAACAAAATTAAAACGACATGTCGTTTAGGCAATCAAACAGTCTCCTAAACATTCTCTACCTCTACTGTCTCTTGGACTTTCCCAAAACCCTAATCACACTCGACCGCTTGCTAGCTAGGGTTTAAGAGAACCCTCCCCCGAACAAAGCCCCATTCTGATTCTGCACAGCTACGAGATTTTACCCCTTTTTCTGTTTCTTCATTCTCCAAAACCCTAAGTTTCTTTATCTCCGGAGATGGTAGGATTTTTCCCTGAACCTTCCATTGAAGAAGATCCCAATCTAGTTTCAAAACTCAAAATTTTCAAAGATCCTATTGACCTTCTTGACCCTAAACTCAACGATTTATCCGCTGCGGATTCTTTTCTTGATTTTGATTCTATAAAGGAGTGGTTTGGAGATAACCCAAATTTAGATAGGGTTGGTTTAGAAGAGAGTGAATTTGGGGATATTGGGAAGCATATGGAGATTGGTAAAGAAGATAACTTTGAGAAAACCCATTTTGGTGACCCTACCGTTAATGGGTCTGAGCCAGATTTTGATGTATTCAAGCCAATTGTTTGTGGATCTGAGCTGGTTGGAGGCGAGTCAGGCTGTACAGTGAAGGTGGAAGAAGAGGAGTCAAAACCAGAAGGGAAGTTGAGTTCATCTATTGAGGAAGAGATGGGGAAGGTTAGTTTGGTTGGTGGACTAGACAGTGGGCGTAGTAGTTCAGAGGCGTCTGAGACTGAAAGTTCATCTTCGTCATCATCTTCTTGTGGTAGAAGCGATGATGATGACGATGATGATGATGATGAGAAGGAGATTAAAGTAAAAGTGAAGGCGGAAATCAAAAGAGAGGTGGATGCTGCAGGTGAGCTTGAAGAAGGTGAGATAGGAGGTATTGACGGAGAGATGGCCGTTGGTGGAACTGATAATCTTGATGATGATGAAGAAGAAAAAGAAGAGGGGGAGGAGGAAACAGAGGAAATCCTCAATGGCTTTGATATTGAATTTGATGAGGTAGATGACGAGGATGATGGTGCTGGTGCTATGAAAGGCCCTATCAGATCAAAAAATGAACTTGAGGTAACAAATTGTGGCTTGATGATTTTTTTTTATACAATTACTTTTTATGCTAATACTATATTCTCTAATGTTTCTGGAAAGAAAATTTGTAGGTTTAGCATCTCATCAACATGTTAACCTCGATGTTCTCCAATTCTTGTTTAATTTAGTCTTATTCTGTTGAATGTGTTTTGCTGGCTGCATTTTCTTCCATGTATGTTCTATTTTATGTTTGTTAACTGCAAACCATCCGTTTGTTGCTGTTGTTTGTTGGAGCAGGAGATAAATTATTCTGTAGTCTCATTTTCTTTTAATATATATATATATATATATATTTATTCATTTATTTATTTTTTTATTTATGATTGAGCTGGCTTCATTGTTCCAAGATCTTTTGGCATTCTTTGGCTTAAAGTTATTTATTTATTTATTTGCACTGGTAAGGAAGCTGATTAAGTTCAACATAATAAAACCATGTCATTTCACTTCAAATTTATCATAGCTAGCACTTAGCAACTCATTGCATTCATATATTTCATGCGGTAATCTTACATTTGACTTTGTTTGCCACTGGGGCCTTATGTGGTTGACTTTGGCTCTATATTTTTAACTCATCAAGACTCGATAAAATAATTTTCCCTTATAACCATTGAATTTATTGCATTCTGATTCTTGCTTAACAGAGATCAGGCATTTCAGCATCACTCTCTAATCCTTGCTTGTTGACAATTGAAGTCTATACGTAGACTTCTCTTGCATGATCTCCGTAGTGCTGAACTACATGACTAAAATAGTTATTTCTGAAGTTATTATTGGTTTGGTTTAATGCTGGAGTTGTTGCTGTTGAATAGTAGTTTTGAATAAATGCTGGTAAATTTGGCAGGTACTCCCTCTGGTTCCACCACTGAATGTTACATTGCAACCCCATCAACAGATGCTGCCTGTTGGAGTTGTTTTATCGGTAAGCTCAAGTTCGAACCTCTATTACAAATTCAAAGGCCAAGCCTTAAAGTTTTGCTCAAATTTTGTTAAACACTCTTATACCCCTGTTTTCGGAGCTTGGTATTTTTTTTATAAGCTTGGTGATTTTTTATCTAGTCTATATTGACTTAAAAGGTCAGTCTAATGATGTTCCTTTGTAAAAATACTAGCTATGGGAGTCTAATGATGTTCCTTGCACTATTACAGACGATTGGTACCAAAGTTGTTGTTGAAGGAAGAGACCAGCACAGCCCTCTTAATGAAGGTTCTATTCTCTGGATAACCATAGGCAGATCACCACTGGGATTGGTGGATGAAATCTTTGGACCTGTAAAAAACCCCTACTATGTAGTACGATATAATTCGGAGAGTGAAATACCTGCAGGGATCAATGAAGGTACTTCGATCTCTTTTGTCCCTGAATTTGCTAATCATGTTCTCAATGACAAGAACCTTCACAAGAAAGGGTATGATGCATCTGGTGAAAATGATGAGGAGTTGTCAGATGATGCTGAGTTTTCAGATGATGAAAAGGAGGCTGAGTACAAGAGGATGCAAAAATGGACAAAGAGAGGCATGAATGACCAAGGAGTGGAAAACCGAAAAGGCAATAAAAAGAAAGTTAAAAGTAGGAATGGGGCTTGGAAAAATGATAGGAGCTCAGCTCAGCAAACATCAACAGCAGTGGGTCATCTTCCGCCTAATCAGAATCAACATAATTTCTCTACGGTTTCAGCACCTTTGGATAATAATTGTTCATCATCTGTACTAGAACAAAATTTTGTTGGTGGATCTGGCTTTGTTCCACCATTTTCAATCATGCCACAGTCTTCTGGTTTTATTACACCTTCAAATGGAGTTTGGACTAATGGGGTGCCCCGCCAGCAGCCACAAAATGCTATTTTTCCCAACATGTTTTCTGTAGAAGGTATGCCATTGCTCTCACAGAATTATCAACAGCCTATTCCTTTGCCAACCCCAGCAATGCGTATGCCAACCATGATGCCATACCAGCTGCAGCAGTTTGATCCTTGTTTGAGTACTTTTCCTAGTGTGGTCTTACCTGGTAGTCAGTCAAATTTATTTGCTGGACCAGCCTGTGCACCTTGGTTGGGGATTGCAGGTCAAAATGGCTGTAGCCAAACCACATTTGGGGTGGGCATGCAGGGGCAACAGTTCCTTAGTGCATTACAAGGTATCTTGTCAAATGGAACAACGGCAGATGGGAATTGTAATTTGCAACCTAAAAGTATTCAAGGTAACTTCGATACATCCCAGAATTTTAACATAGGTGCATCATCAAGTCGTGGGAAAACGTCATATCGTAGAGGTCGCGGTTCTGGTCGTTTTACTGGTGGAAGAGGTCATCAACAATCCTAAAGAGTTGTCGTTAGTGGAGATTGAGTGGAGACGTGGGCGTGTCATAGTTGATTTATGTAAACTATGCTTTTGGCGCGTAATTTATTGTTGAATATTTTTTTTCAATTGAGGCAATATATGATATATAGGGTGATGGGCATTGCATTTTTCTGATGATTTAATCGGTAGGCTCTTTCAAGTTTCAGGACAAGAAGGAATGTACCAAAGCAAGAATCCATAAGGTTCCCTTCTCCACCCCATTTAAGAAAAAAAAAAATCTATATATTAAAAAGAAGAAAGGCAATTAAAGTCGGATGCTAAATTCATAGGAGTGATACTGGGCCTACTATGGTTATTGTTTCAAGGCCTTTCATTGGCTCGCCGCTAGTCTTGTAGTCTTCTAAGAACCAGGCGGGTGGAGCTATAGGATGCGGCCATGGAAGAGCCATGCGTTGCTGCTCTTCCTTGGGGGTTTGTTAAATATATATATAGGGGAAATCCAGCAAATAAAACTCCGAAAAGTCAGGTTACAGTCTGGCGTTGAGATTGAGAAATGTGGTATCTGTCAATTATAACATAAATGAATAAACAAATTTAAATAGTTATAAGGACCCAAACATCAACGTGGAGATCAAATTTAATTAATTTGAAGTTTTTAAACCAGTCAATGAGCTCCATTTATGATGAACTCAGGGACTGAAAATTTAAAGAGTAACATGAAAGATAATGTCTTTGAAGGCTTCTTCCGTGGGGATGGGCTCAACTAAAGCAACAAATAAAGAACCAACCCTAAAAGGAAAGCACTGAAGAGAGTCAAGCTTTGGCGTTTCTAGTGAAGTCGATGCAAGTTTGGCAACTGCAGTCAGAGAACCGACATATTTCACACCCAAAGCACACACAGGAAGTACAACCCTTGCATGTTGGAGAACGGGTGCAGCCCCTGTACACCCTACGACTTGCTCGCTCTTCATCATCATCACATGTTATTCTGAAATGCAGAAAACATGTTAGTTATGAGCTAAAGAGTATATTGTCAACTTGCCACAACATGTAGCAGATGACGAGAGTATTCTACACTTGCAAGTAAGCAAATTCTGCATAGCATCACTTGTAAACACTAGAAAGAATTAGTTGGGCTTAAATTTCTGTTCAAAACCTTAAACATGTTCATATCAAATCCTAACAATATGAAGAAAAATCTCTCTAAGCTTTTACTCTCATACCATTACTAACGATAGCAATTATTCAAATCTGAGCATCCTGGATTTAAAATGGAAAACTATCTATATTGTCAGAACTCTGTGCCCCCTCCCCACTCAATTCAAAAAAGAAAAGATGGTGGCATTCAAGAACACAGCTCAAAACAAGGCCAGAACATTTCAGCTTTGTCAGCCAATTTAGAGCTAAAACTGAATGTTCTCATGGATTATAATTTTAAAGAACTTGCCAACTAAAAACATTTCCGACACAAAAAGTGCTGAAAGTTAATGCATAGGTTTAGCAAAACACCAACAATCAAACAGACATGGAAGCAAGTATGGTAATAGCACATAAGGAAAACATAGCTTGCTCTTAGAGAACTATGGCTTCTTGTTTCAGAGGAAAGTAAAACATCTCTTGGTGCCAAAAATTTATGTAAGACATCCAAGTTAGAGTACCTGGCGGCTTTTTAAAGATGCTACCAATGAAAACAAATCAGGCATATCAGGACAAGAATGGAACTGCTTAATATGTCAAATAGGAATCTAGAACCCTTCTTTGAGAAAGAACTATCTATCTCACAACCCATCTTCCATGGCCTTTGGAAAATAACCTGTCACCATTTCCCATAATGGAGTAACACCCCAAATAGTTAAAGTGTTTTGACTGAAAATTTCCTCCGATCTGAAGGACACTCAATCAAGCTCAATTCATTTCTTGTAACGTTATCTAGTGATTCAAATACAAGCACATAGGAATGCCATTAACGTGTTCCAATAGATGAAACAGTAAGATTTGATACTTCTCATTATGGCGTCCATCTTTACACAAAGCCATGGGATCTAATGAAGCATAGTTGTCAAATTGCCTAAAAAGTGAAAAATCAGGAACAGCAGTTGGATAAAAACTATACTTCATGTGCAGTACTAGGTTCTTCAGTCTTCACCCAAAATTACTTGTTATGTTTCTCAACATTCAGTCAACAGATTTTAAGTGAAAATCATGTGAAATTTTGGTGGTTATTACATTAGCCAAGAATACTAAAAATTTTCAGAAGCTGTGACCACATGGGTGTTGATGAGCTGTAAAAGACACTATCCATTTTTAACTCACTTAACTGCATATTAAGCAGAAGAAATAACTCCATATAAAAGGGCCAAATGATACAGACACACAAGAAATAAGTTCAGAAAAGAACAGTTGAAAAGGAGTTAACACGAAAAGAAAGAATTGCTCATTATTTTCCTGTAGCCATATATGGAGCTACAGCCCACGAGATGGTTTCATGATAGAGAAGCAACAAAAGCCAGATCATGGAAGAATATTTTAGAATTAGAAAAGTTATACTTCAATTTATATCAAATTGGGGATCAAGTGTCAAGTTACTACATGCATTATCTACAAATTACATTTTAATTTTTATCAATTGGATTTTTTAGGGAAAAAAAAAAGAATTGAGTCAAAAAGCATGTTCTAGAATGATTAATACCTCAATATGCAATAGCAATAGGCTTGCACCTGACAAACCCAATTTATCAAACAACAGCATAACCAATAATGAGATGACAAACCTGTCATAAGGAAGATCAGAACATTTCCAGTTTACATCTGCTAAAGCATCATGGTGAATCCGACATTCCTCTTTTGTCCGCAATCGAAATCTTCTCTCCTTGTTACAGCTGCTACAGCAAACAAACTCATCACGATGGCAAACTCTTCCATTATGGGATCTGTGAGTACCATTGGCATTTTTAGATGCTTGGTTGTAGTATTTCAGCAATGCAGTCTTTGATAATGAAACCTTCTCCCCATTAACCATCACCCAAACATTATTTTTCCACTTTCTAGCTGTCTCTCTTCCAGAATGCTTCTCAAACGCAGCGGGAGTCAACTTGTCTAGACATTGAAATTATCATTCACACATTTAGAAAAAGAAAAATGAATAAAAAAGAAACCTTCAACATTTGTTAGGAAAGTGGAATGGAGCTAGAACAATAAGAATTAGGGGGAAAAGAGGATATCATATGCACCTGACATCGGAAGGCCGTATTAAACAGTAAAGGCTAACAGTAAAGAAAGTTTAAGACCGTTTTAGTCAGATTTAGTTGTATAGACCTTGACTGTGTAATTGCGCTACCAAACTCACCGTGTTCCTTTCAAAAGCCCCAAAATGACCAATGGTATAAAGAAAATAATCATCTGACTTTGAACTCAAAGTGGAGGTGGATCCATGAGATGAAGGTTTACCTTCAAGGTTTGAAGTGTATGACCATTTTTTCTTTTCATTTGACATGGGTATTCTTTCTTTCTTATTAACAAAACACAGCTTCCATACGGGCCAAAGATTCCTTCCCATGCCAACAATATATAGTTATGCAATCTACTCCTAACTGAGCATCCTTTAGATGGGAGATATTTGTAACATTAATCATTGATCAAACTGCAAAAGTTGACAAATAATTAAAGCTTTCATTTTACCAAACTTGATTTCCTCAATAACACTGTTTCAATGATAAATAAAATTTGACGCAATGCTTCGTATGTATGTGCTAAAGTCTTGAAATAATTGAACACTTGCTAGTAGAAGTACTGTTTGAACCGAAACTCCAAGCCATATTCGTACTACTTTCACACGGCAGCATTATGTAAGGACAAACACATGCACACAAAAAGAACGAATAAAATTAGACGTTCATCCCCAGGAAACATTGCCGTCCTTATTAGCACCAAGTTTAAATATGCTCAACCACACTTTACAATGACATACCATCAGAACAGGAAAAACTAAAACATGCACGGAACCCATATGGCTAAAAATGTTTCTTCCAAAAATTTTACTCTGTCCAGCGACAAGACAAAACTGAAGCTTTGAAAAACCAGATTCTGAAAAGACTGAATCGAAGACCTTAAGTAAAAGACAATGCAGGTGTTATTCTGAAGATGCAAACTCAGAGATAAGATCTTCAAACAACAAGGTCACTCATGGAGTGTCCCAAAAAATGTATGAGCATCGGCTTGTTGTGTTACAACCAAGGAAAGCCAAATCACAGAGACAAAACAACATACACATAAACTGTGTGAAAAAGAAACCAAAACGAAAGGACTCAAGCTTCCCCACCATCCACTTCTCACTCTATCCAAAACTCGATTAAATAAGAGAAAGCGACACCCACCAACGTCTAATGCACCATAACTTGAATAAAGCACGCATTAAACGTTCACAAAAATCAAAACCCATACAGCATCAAAGGAAAAGAAAAAGGATGGAGAAAGAAAGAAAAAAGGGTTGAAAAGAGAGAGACCTTCATTGCAACCAGGGGTGCATTCACAAGTGATTTCAAGGTCACCATTGGAGAAAACCCTAAGCTTGCCAACAGCATCACCATATCTATGGCTGGTACACCCACATGTCACTTCTATAAAATCTCCTCCTTTCTTCAATCCACTTACCTCCCTCAACTCGTCTTCGCTAAATATCATCGACCCACTTTCTCTGTCTACCCCATTCTCCATTTTCTGTCTAACAAAACCCCCCAGACGCTCACAGACACAGAAAAAAAAAAACTCACACACACACACACACACACACTCCCTCTCTATGCCTTACTAGGTTTTCTAAAAGAAAGAAAAAACAGAAACCTCAAGGAAGAGAAAAATCGAATCAACAAGAAAAAAAGAAGAATATGGGTAAAGTTGAAAAGAGATGGTGGTTGCCTGAGGAGACTTTATAAGAGGTCTAAACCGGAGAGAGGGTTGAAAAAGCAAGCATCTTTATGGGGGTCACTCCCGGAGATCTGGTGGAGAATACGTCGGGAGAGAAGAGAGATAGAGGGGGGTCGGTGTTGGAGGTGTGTGTTTTTTGGGGATGTAAATGAGCTGGCGGAGAGAAACAAATGTCGTGGGGGTGAAGGGGAGTGAGAGGTGTTAAAAGCTTAGGTGCTACTTGCATGACATGACATGAGAGAGAGCGAGGCTTTGGCTTTGGCTTTGGCTTTGGCTTCAGGGCCTTTTGGTTTATGGGAAAATCCCTCCCATGGGAAGTAGACGAGGTTTATTGAAATTACTGTTGGGGAGGGATTAAATATTTAGTTGCCTTTCTTGTGTTTTTTTCTCCAATGCAAATGCAATGCTTGGTTTATAGTCCTTTCCCTGTTTAGGTGGGTGAAGCACTATTTCTCATTGATAGAACTTTTACAATTTCACTGTGAATTTCTGCACTGCATCACACTTCTAAACTTATTAGTTATTAACCAGTCTAGTAGTGTAGCAACAACAACTGTATATCCACAACTCAAAGTACAGCTCCTGTGGAAAACTCCAACTTAGGTATTGTTTCTAAACAGGAATTCAAGGGTATTTTTTCCTTTGACCCTTTGCTGCATATATCCTTCCATTTTGTATATATATTCCGTAAACAGAATTAGATTCAATTAACAAGGGAAAAATGTGGTCGCCACATAAATATTGTCAGCGGATCCGAGTTTTAGTTCAAATATTTAATTATATTTGAGATTAGAAAAGAAGGAAAATAGAATAAGGAAGTTTTTACGATATTTGATTCATTTGAATGGAATATAATAGGAACTATGTTTAGTTTGTTTAAGAAATCTAGTTGGAATAAAATTAAAAGATTATTTTATTTTTTATTAAATTAATTAAATTTATTATAAAGATTAATATTAATAAAAAATAATTATTAATTAAATCATTCTCTGTCATTAATGAATAATAAAATTATTATTTTATCCTTCGATTAAAAATAAATTTTTAATTAAAAAATCAATATATTTTATTATTTTATTTTTATTTTCAAAAAAATTAATTATAATTTAGTAATCATTATTATTTTATAATGCTAACTTGTGATTAATAATATATAATATTTATATAATAACAGGTAATTTCTTATAATAAAATAATATAATATTCCCTTATAATATATATTGCATTTAAAATTTTCTTTATTGACATAAGATAATATAGTAAGTTCAGACACCTACTAAGACTACAGGTAGTAAAAGAGACATCATCTTGCTTTATGATCATTACGATCTCTTATGTAAAAAAAAAAAAAAAAAAAAAAAAAAAATCATCTTGCTTTTATCTTTTAAGCCATCAGGCTTTACCCATAATTTTCTATATATCTATTTTTTGTAACAATGTTATTGGCATTGTGCGGATCGCAGAAAGCTTAAAAGTTATACAGATTGATATATGCACTGATTCCTTTAAATCTATCAGAACAATCAAATTTGTTTATTAGTTGATGAAGAAAGGCAGGCTTTTAATATATGTGGAGGATATTATTGAAAACCTTCGAGGCTACACTCAAAAGCTACTGCTTTATGTTAAAGTAGGGCTTATATGTTAGGACGACAGACAACAATTATTTTTGTTTGATCTGACAATAGACAATAATCAAATGATCATCACACTGTACTTGATTAAAATTTTGTTACCAGTCTCTTGCTTGAAGGGTCGACATAAATGTATTTTGATTTTCAATGTAGTTGTGGTTGGGAAATATTCCAAATGATAGCCTTGGAGCCACCGTATGAAAAACTACATATTTCCCATGACAACTAACAAAAACAGGCCAACATTTATGGATATTATTCCACGTCTCCAAGGAGAGGAAAAATAACAGGATCAAATTGGGTACTGCTACTCTTTCTTAATTAGTTTAACATAATAAAATGTCTAAGCTATAGCATATGGCTCTGACTACTGTTAGTGGGAAGTACCAAAGTAGGCATGTCGACTATTCTTTATTGTATTACTAGGAGTATTAAACATCCATCAACTGAATGATCATTACGATCTCTAGCGCGCATGAAATCGTCTTCATGCTAGTTTGTAACTTGTGAACAAGCATGAACTCATTAATTTGCATTGCCAGCAGTACTGGAAGATAATCTTATACTCCTGATGAAAGCAGAAGTAGAATCATTAAATATTTCAATGGAAAATCATTTCTTCTTTTGCTTGAGTTTTACGAATATGGAGCCTATAATACAGTACTGGTAAGTAGTAATTTTCCATTTGGCTATAAATGCAGCTGTGGCCTGACAACAATCCGTCAGATTTTATCTGCTTGTTGTGCTTTTCTGAGTCAAACAAAAGGGTACATTGCTCAGTTACGATTTTGGACCGACTGTGCTGTGCAGTCATCATACTTCATTTTACACAACATTCAGAGATGTGCTTTTTCCAATGATCATGTCCGGAAAGAAACTCTGCTCTTCACCGAATGACAGCATTTCAACTGTCTGCTGTCACCTTAATTTTTGGCGTGGCTCCCATTTATCCATTAATAGCTTGAAATATGCCTTGAATTGATCAGTTAAACTAAGAAGAATCTACAGCTTGTGCATATTCTGCATTTAGCCTTATATTCCTCTAGTAATTGGCATGTCAGTCGGGATCTGCTTTAGCTTTAGTAATGATTTTAATTCCATATTTCCGCTTTGAAATCTAATAAGATCTTCTGTTGGTAGAAGTTGTGTCTTTCTGTGCATAATTTGCGGCACTTGAAATGATCTCCACATAATAACTTGTGGCCTTGCAGGGGGCAGATATTCTGTACAGACTTCCTGCTTCTGTTCTTGTATATAAGTTCATTTCATGTCAAAAAGTTAGGTTGATTACAAATAACTGCACAGAAAAATGTAATTGTCAAATTCGATTTATGAAAATAAAGGATTAAGCTTAAACAGTCTGCATCCATTGAACCAGTGCTGCATAACTTAGACCGTCTGGTAATGCCGCTTCCAAACAAATCTTTGGTAGTAGCATGGCTAATGCGGCGGTCTCGATAAGATTGATATGCCATCATAATCTCAAATGAAAGTAGGAGACATGACTCAATTGTCTCATCTTCTAGCATTCGTGATACACTTGTCGCGATTCCATTAATGAATTGTTAGATATATATATATATATATATATATATCAAAGTGATCTAAAATTAAATTTAAAATTTAACTATATTAATTCATATAATTATTTTTAAAAATTAATTATTAATAAATATGAAATTTGAATTTTTATTCCTATAATCTCTTTTTTTTTTATTTTCTATTTCTTTTGTACTAAAAAAATGCCAAATCTTGTCACAAAGGAAGAGACTCCCCGACACTTTGAATGAAAGGTTTTGCCCAGTCAAACAATTATTATCCCAAGAAGTGCAGCATACAATTATTGGTGCGTCTAAAATGATGCAGACATTTAAATTAGGTTCGTATCACTTTACAAATTTAATACATCATGTTGCTGACTTGCTGATTACAATGATTGCTAACTTTTTTTATTATATTTTAGAACAACCATGCCATACGAAATCGGCGCCATTGGGAAAAAAAAAAAGAAAGGAAAGAAAATTCAAAGCTTTAGCAAATTAAGTGAATCACTTTTGGCACATGGAGAGATGTCGCGGGTGCCCGGTGGTCGACCCAGCTACAGCAATTGCTTGCATACGTTGCAGGAGCTAGCTAGCTTTGGCTTGACGTTGGATTCTGACACTGGAGGACCACTTCAAGTTTATCTTCGAAAGTTGGCCTATCATTTTGAAATACCCACACACTAGTTCTCTAGTGCCATATTCTTTGACATTCATTGGTACTTTGGCAAATGTTTGGTCGCCACCAACTCATAAGCTGTGTTTTACAGTGAGCTTCCTTTTTCAAAGAATCCAATGAGAAGCTGGAATATTGAAGGCGTTGAAGGCGTTGAAGGCGTTGAAGGCGTTGAAGGCGCCTGAAGCAGCTCCCATCAAGGGGTGAGGACTCCAAATGATGCCCACCTGCTGACGGATTGCCAAGGATTACATTAATATTGTTAATGTTAAATTTCAAGATGGTTATTAACGTTAAAATTACTTGTTTATAAGTGAAAATTACTTTATTATATTTATGTATCCAAAATATTTTGCTAACATATGTAAGATTTCATTTATCTCTATTCTAACACTTTCTTTTACGTGTATAGATATCCAACCTATCACATAACATGAACTTCACAGAGTATATGTACCAGACTTATCATATCGCTTAAACATCGCAACATAGACAAGGTATTTCAATAGAGGAAACAATAATCAGTGACAATACACGCACTGATACCATGAGATAAATCAAATTCTTTTGTGCACATCGATATAACAAAAATCTTCTCTCCAAAAAAAAAAAAAAAACAAAATACTTTACAAAACATCTTAAATTTAACGGATATAAAATTTCATTTATCTGCACTCAAAATTAAAGAACAAAAAAAATTAAAAATCTCAAGTTGTAAGTGAACCACAAGTACATCATGAAATACCAGCAAGCTGGCTCCTCTTCCTAATCATTTCAAGCAGAGTGGCCTAATAGTCCAAAACCCAAAATTTTTGTAGATCTTCTTTTGTTACCAATATGACAATAAGTAGCTCACTTTGAATATTCACATAATTGGTACATCTTATTGTCGTTTGGTCACTAGGCAGACCAAAAAATAGAAAAAAAAATCTGTACCCTGTAGAACACAGCTAGGGTTTTGAGGGTGCTTCGTTGGCAAAAGTTGGAATTCTGGTGGCTTTTCACTTTTCTTCCTTCTTTTTTTTTTGGGTGGAACCCGAAGGGATCAAAGAAAAGTCAAGAACCAGATGAAATCAATCAAATGGATGGATCAGTTGGATATAAAAAAGATTATGACTAGTTTAGTATTGTGTGCACAAAATGGTGGACACTTAAGAACTGTACTGTGTTAAGGCACAGGCTGCAAAAGCTCTGATAACTCTGCTCAAAGTCGAAAGATTTTATGCGAATCTGAACGTATGGTACGGTATTCTCAACTTTTTGGTAATGTTTGAAGAATCATCGGCATCATGCTTTTATCTTCAGATTTGCTTTGATTTTAATTCGTTGTAGTACAATGCCCCTGGTGCTGCAACGGAGGGCCAAAAAGAAAAGCAATTTGTTGCCCATCCATTCCAAAAGAATAATAAAAGAGAAAGTAAATTCACATACCTCAAGTAAATTGCATTAAGAAGGTCTAAATTGCAAACCTAGCTCTTAAAATTTGAGTAGCATTAGATGTTTCTCATGTGATTTCAAAAGTGATATTGAAAATTATTTTTGGATTTACATTTGCTTAAAATTAAGTGTTAGCTAAGATTTAATCTTATAAGATTTGATTTATAATTCTA